GGGCCGCCATGGAGCACATCCGCACGCCCAAGGTTGGTGGCGGCGGAGGGAGAGGAGGAGGCGGCGGGATGCTGAGCGCGCGGGAGGGCCGACCGCTGTGCGGGGTCCGGCAGGACCTGGACCGCGAGCGAGGGAGGAGCCGGCGGCGCCCGAGCGAGCATCTCCCGGGCCGCTAGGAGGCTGGCGCGCTCGCTGCTGCCTCACAGGCCTAGTCGGAGCTGCTGCTGCGTCCGACCTCTTGTCCTCGGGGGTGCGCAGTGGACATAGGGGTGGGCCGGGGGGAACCGGGGGCTGCCGAGAAACGCTTCCTTCTGGCCTGGCACTTTGCTTTTTTTTTTTGTTTGTTTTTAAGCTGTCGATTACTCTGAGCAGTTGAAAGGGAAATAAGCCTTTCAGTGGCAGGTCCCATGAAAACGAATTATATGCAGGTGGACTGAATATACTCGGGGGCTTGTTGAATCTAGGGGGTCAGACCCACCCAATCCGACCTTCCCCTTCGCCATCCTCTGGCTGGCAGTCGCCAGGGACCTTATACAGAGCGGATGATCAGTGTTCGCTGCAGGCTGAATGATGGTGTGTTCTTGCCTTTTCCAGTCTGTGTAGTTCTTTGGGGAGAAGGATGCAGTTTATAGAATCGTCCACTGGTGTCTTGTAAACAGCAAAGGTTTTAGACACTCAGCAAAAGCGGCTGGTCGTTGATTATTCCAGGAACACTGGAAACGTTGGCTGCTTTACCAAAACTTCCTATTCGTAGTTATACTGGTAATATACTTTAGAGTGAAAACAGTGGTCGATATTCCTGTCTGATAAAAACCCTAAACTAGTGGAAGAATGTATTTAAAATCCTGTTGGCTATCTCTTGTTACTACCAACACAGCTGCCTGCGTTTCCAGGATGATCTCCTATTCAAAATCTAGGCCCCTGACAGGTCAAAGCTAGGTCTGAGTGGCCAGACCTCAGGTGACCCCAGGGATCTCACTCATTTATTTCATGGAGGGGGAAGGACAGTTGTTTTGCTTTGTGTCCAGTAAGAAGAATTTATCCTAAATTCTGGAATGGTTCCTGAGTACCTCTTTGTAAAAGCAGCTTTAAAATTATCTCATGTCAGTGGAAGAATAAATCTTTTACTTTGCTAGAGAATGTCAGTTCCAACAGTAAATATAAATTGTATTGATTTTTTACTATGGAATTAAATCGTTGCTTCACAATCAGGAAATTGTAAACTTAGAAGACAGTGCCATAAACCACAAGATAGGTGGCTCAAAGCTTTCAGGGTTTAAGTGGTACTAAATAATTCATTCCAGAATGATGAATTTAACTCATAGACTCCTTCTGCCCTTGCCAAGGGCATCCTTTCTTTTTTCATGATGAAGGGGGCCCCTTTATACAAGTGATATTTTCTTATAGAATATAAATTTGAGGGAGTGAAGTCCTTTTCTAATCTATATTCACACTGACCTGGTACAAAGACATATGTGTAAAGCTGAGCAGCAAGAAATATTCTCACTTATTCTTAAAATTGGTTTTCGTAAACACCCTCTAAGCACTGTTTCAAGTACTTCAAGTCAGAAATCCTCTTCTATCCAGGAATGGAAAGAAATGGGAGGAAAGAGAGGATTGTCTGAAGTGTCATTGACCCGGAGGATGACTAACGTTTAGGGTATTTCAGGTAGAAAAAATCCGAAATTACAGAGGATGGATGGATCAGGTTCATTTATTCATTCATTTCATTCTACATGAGTTTGAGAACCTTTTATGTGTCAGGTTCTGTGTTAAGTGCTGGAAGCACCAACATCCAGGAGCTCACGAGAAGGGAAGGCAGTTATAAATATGTCATTGTTTGATAGAGATATGTACAAGGTACAGTAGGTAGAGAGGGAAAATGGATGGACGATCAACTCTGTCATAAAGAGTGAAGGAAGCCTTCTTGAAAGAGTTGAGGCTTAACATTCAAAGAGCCAAGGAGGACAGGAGCATTTGAGACAGCTGTCAGGTAAGTGTGTACATTTGAGACATGTCATGTAATTGTATAGTTGTCGTGTTAGTCTGTTTCCGTTGCTTATAACAAAGTGCCTGAAACTGGGTGATTTATAAAGAAAAATGACATTTATTGCTTACAGTTTCTGAGGCTGGGAAGTCCAAAGTCCATCTGGTGGTGGCGACAGTGACCCAGGGGTCTCATATTACAGGATGGTGGAAGCAAAAGAGCAAGACGGACTCTCCTCTTCTTTTAAAGCTCTCAGAACCACACCCCTGACCACCATTTTTAATCCGTTCACTACTGTGCAGTCCTATAATCCAATCACCTCTTCAAGGCTCCACCTTCCAATTACCATAATAGGTTTTCCCACCCTCTTAACAATCACAGTGGGGGCTAGGTTTCTAATACATAAAGCTGAGGAACATAATTCAAGCTTCAATGAGTTTTGGGGGGACATAATTCGGTCCACTACAGTTGTGTAAATATATATTGTAATAATTACAACCTCAAAGAAGCTGAAAATGATGATAAAAAGATGATTCCTTGAGGTTAAACAACATCTTCCTTTTGTTCCATGTTTTAAGTGCATAATTAATTTTCACAGTCTGAATGAAAAAGAGAATAAGACTACTTACAGAGCATGTGTTATAAAATATGTACTCGTAGTTGCTGATGGTCATATTCATCTTTATTATTTGCTTCCATTATACTCTGGAGAAACCGAATAGGTAGGTTTCCTTTGATATCATGGTTTCATATCTTGGGATTTAAGGAGTATACACAAAGTTTGTTTATCTGACCCACTGTGGGTTTGAAGCAATATTCAGCATGTGGGTAGCAGGGTTTTATTTTAAAAGGAAAAGAAATGCATGCATGAATAATGTACGGTTGCTTTCTTATTATAGTGAAAGTAATTTATTCACTCTTTGTGAACTGTGTAATATCCATCACAGCCTCAGTATTCTGCTTCAGTCTCTGGAGTGCAATTTAAGGAGATAGATGCACATGAATAATCTGGAATGCTTTGCACATATTTCTGTGTGTGTGTGTGTGTGTGTGTGTGTTTGTTTCACTAAAGCCTTTAACAGAGCATATTCTAAGCAGGGTGTGTCTCTCCCAGAATGGGTCCTCTGTGAGGAAAAAATAATGTTCCAAGGACAAGCTAGTTTGCAGCTGGGTTAAAGCAAGGACACCAAGCATCAATTGTATTCATCACAGTGAACTTTTGGATTTCTACTTCACTGTCTGGTTTCCTTTACCATTCTGAAAACTCACTGGTGAGAAATTGTTCTCCTGGAAGCCTAAGAATAATTTGGGTTCAAGTACTACTTAGTTATATGAAAAGATTTTGGAGCTGCTAGAAGTAGCTTGAAGTGTTTGCAGGATTTGGTTTGGTACTGGATTGATGCTAATGTGTCTAGGATCCTGGCTAAGTAATCTCTACTTTGCTTTGGTCTTTCTGGAAGGCATTTTTTCCCACGAGTGTAAATTTGAGTTATAAAGTAGAATACACGATAATCTCCAAAACTACAAAACAGACCTTGAAAATATCTTCTCTTCCTTTCTACCCCACTCCGCTAGTCTGAGCCAATAATACTCTAATAGCCTCCTAACTGGTCTCCTAATTTACTGTTTTGCTCTTCTCTAATCCCTTTTCCATAGGGGCATGGGTGATACTTTTATAGCACAAATTTATCATGTTACTTCCCTTCTAAAGTTGTTGGGTGGCTTCCCTTGGTACCCAGGATACAAAGGAAGAATCCCCAGAGTAGCACGTAAGGCCCTGTGTGGATTGACCCCTCCCTACTTCTCCAGCCTCATTTTGTGACAATCTTCTTATTCATTACCCTCTGATCACAACTGTCCTTCGTGTAAGTTTCACGAATGTGACGGGTTCTTTTCTGCCTCGGGGCTTTGCACTGTCATTCCATCTAGGGAAACACTTAATCCTCATTCTTCACCTGGCTAAATTTCTTATCTTCCTAATTTTGAATTAAATGTAATTTCCTCAGAGAGGCTATTGTTCAACTCCCCCATCTAAGTCGTATCTGCCTGTTATATTTTATCATAGAACCTTGTATTTTCCCCTTATGCTCCTCATTACAATTATTATATTTACTTAAGTGACATCAGGCTTCCCTGCTTGACTGAAAGGCCTGTGAAAGGGAATTATATGCAGTTCACCCTGTATCTATGGCACCTAACACAGTGCCTGGTACCAAGTAAATATGCAATACATAAATTAATAATTGAATAATTGAAGGAATGAATAATTCTTGATTTCAGTACTTCAGTTTCTAGAATTTGCTTTAGTAATCCAGGCCTCTTCTGTGTTGTATTCAGAACTTGACTGTATTGTGAATCTTCTAATAATATTAGTGAATTAATCTTCTAATAACATTTGTAGATGTCAATGTATCTTATATGTTACAATGTAAAGCTTATGCTTTTATATATTTTTCATGAGATAAAATTCAAGTAATATAAAATTCACCATTTTTATCATTCTAAAGTGTACAATCTGGTGGTTTTAGTGTATTTACGATGGTGTGCAACCATCACCACTATCCGGTTCCAGAGCACTTTCATCACCCCCAAAAGAAATCCAGTGCGCATTAGTAGTTAGCTTTGAATGATATCTTACACTTATTTATGTTAAATATTATGTCATTGGATTTAGACTATTTCTTAATCCCTTACTTTGTTTTGGGTCCTGATATACATCACATCTGTTCTTCTCAATTTGGTGTGCTGTATTAGTCCATTTCTGTTGCTTATAACAAAATACCTGGACTGGGTAATTTATAAGAAAACAAAATTTATTGCTTACAGTTTTGGAGGCTGGGAAATCCACAATCCAGGGAGCACATTTGGTGAAGGCCCTGGTGGTGGCGACAGTGACCCAGGGGTCTGAAATGACAGAAAATGGCAGAGCAGAGAGAGAGTAACTTCTCGTGTTCTCTTCTTTTAAAGCCCTTAGAACCACGCCATGACCGCCATTTTTAATCCATTCACTACAGCATGGTCCTACAACCTAGCATGGGTCCTTGG